CTGGCCTGGAGCCTTTCTGAAAAGCCATTGACAATGACACTGGGACTTCCCAGTATATGCTTCCTCTGCATATACTGGATTTTGGGGATCCAGTCTGTTTGGATTCTCACCTCCCCTGCACCTGGAGGGAGGGGGGAGGAACTTGAACTTCCCACAGGGCAGGAAACCCTGACTGCTCTTAGGGATGGAGAGGGAGGAGGAGAGGGAGTGGGGGGAGTGGGAGGGTGTTGGCAGGAGGGGCAGAAATGGAAACTTTTATAATTTAATAAAATTTTAAAAAATTGTATAAAAAAAAGAAAAAAAGAAAGCTCTAGGAAAAAAAAGAAACAGATTCACCCAGGAGGAGTAGAAAATTGAAAATAATCAAACTGAGGGCTGAAATCAGCAAAATAGAAACACAGAAAATAATTCAAAGAATCAATGAAACAAAACGCTGGTTCTTGGAGAAAATCAGCAAGATTAACACACCCCTAGCCAAATAATCAAACGGCAGAGAGAGAACACTCAAATTAATAAGATCAGAAATGAAAAGGGGGACATAACCACAGACACAGAGGAAATTCATAGAACATTAGATCTTACTACAAAAGCCCGTATGCCACAAAATTGGAAAATGTAAAAGAAATGGACATTTTTTTAGATAAGTATCATATACCAAGTTGAACCAAGACCAGGTGAACAATCTAAATAGACCTGTCAGTCGTGAAGAATTAGAAGCTGTTATCAAAAAACTCCCTACCAAAAAAGTCCAGGAACAGATGGTTTCAATGCAGAATTCTACCAGAACTTCCAGGAAGAGCTAATACCTATACTCCTTAATGTATTTCACAATATAGAAACAGATGAGTCATTGCCAAACTCTTTCTATGAAGCTACAGTTATCCTAATACCAAACCACACAAAGACACAACCAAGAAAGAGAATTACAGGCCAATCTCACTCATGAACATCGACGCAAAAATTCTCAACAAAATCCTGACAAACCAAATCCAAGAACATATTAGAAAAATCATCCATTATGATCAGGTGGGCTTCATTCCAGAGATGCAGGGCTGGTTCGACATATGCAAATCTATCAATGTAAATAAACTGAAAGAAAAAAATCACATGATCATTCATTGGATGCTGAGAAAGCATTTGAGAAAATTCAACACCCCTTTATGATAAAAGTGTTGGAGAGTTTGGGGATACAAGGATCATACTTAAATATAATAAAAGCAATATACAGCAAGCCGACAGCTAACATCAAACTGAATGGAGAGAAACTCAAAGCCATTCCACTAAAATCAGGAACACGACAAGGCTGTCCACTCTCTCCATACCTCTTCAATATAGTGCTTGCAGTTCTAGCAATAGCAATAACACAACATAAGGGGATCAAGGGGATTCAAATTGGAAAGGATAAAGTTAAACTTTCGTTATTTTATTTGCAGATGATATGATAGTGTACATAAGCAACCCCAAAAACTCTACCAAAGAACTCCTACAGCTGATAAACACCTTCAGTAATGTGGTAGGATACAAGATCAACTCCAAAAAATCGGCTGCCCGCCTATACACAAAGGATAAAGAAGCAGAAAGAGAAATCAGAGAAACAACACCTTTCAAGATAGCCAAAAATAGCATAAAATATCTTGGGGTAACTCTAACCAAGGAAGTGAAAGACCTATTCACTAAGGTTATTCACTAAGAACGTTAGTCTTTGAAGAAAGAAATTGAGGACACCAGAAAATGGAAAGACCTCCCCTGTTCTTGGATTAGGAGAATCAACATAGTAAAAATGGCAATTCTACCAAAATCAATCTATAGATTCAATGCAATCCCCATCAAAATCCCATCAAACTTCTTCACAGACCTTGAGAGAACAATAATCAAGTTTATATGGCAAAACAAAAAACCCAAGATAGCCAAAACAATCTTATACAATAAAGGAACCTCTGGAGGCATTACCATCCCTGACTTCAATATCTATTACAGAGAGACAGTATTGAAAACAGGTTGGTATTGGCATAACAACAGAGAAGTCGATCGATGGAATTGAATAGACGACACGGATATTAACGCACAAACCTATGAACACCTGATTTTCGACAAGGGAGCTAAAGGTATACAATGGAAGAAGGATAGCATCTTTAACAAATGGTGCTGGCATAACTGGATGTCAACCAGTAGAAGAATGAAAGTAGATCCATATCTATCACCATGCACAAAAATCAAGTCCAAATGGATTAAAGACCTCAACATTAATCTGACCACTTTTAACCAGATAGAAGAGAAAGTGGGAAGTAGTCTACAAGATATAGGCACAGGAGACCACTTCCTAAGTAGAACCCCAGTAGCACAGATAATAAGAGAATCAATGAATAAATGGGACCTCCTGAAACTGAGAAGCTTCTGTAAAGCAAAGTACACTGTCAGTAAGACAAAAAGACTACCTTCTGACTTGGAGAAGATCTTCACCAACCCCTCAACAGATAAAGGTCTGATCTCCAAAATATGCAACGAACTGAAGAAGCTAGATACTAAAACTCTAATTAACCCAATTAAAAAATGGGGTACTGAACTGAACAGAGAATTCACAACAGATGAACTTCGAATGGCCAAAAGACACTTAAGGTCATGCTCAACCTCCTTAGCGATCAGGGAAATGCAAATCAAAACCACTTTGACATACCATCTTACACCTGTCAGAATAGCTAAACTCAGAAACACCAATGATAGCCTATGCTGGAGAGGATGTGGAATGAGGGGAACACTCATCCATTGTTGGTGGCAATGCAAACTTGTGCAGTCACTGTGGAAATCAGTGTGGCGGTTTCTCAGGAAACTGGGAGTCAACCTCCCTCAGGACCCAGCAATTCCACTCTTGGGAATATACCTAAGAGATGCCCTATCATACTACGAAAGCATTTGTTCTACTATGTTCATAGCAGCACTATTTGTAATAGCCAGAACATGGAAACAACCTAGGTGCCCCTCAATAGAAGAATGGTTAAAGAAGGTGTGGAACATATACACATTAGAATTTTACTCAGCGGTAAAAAACAATGACATCTTGACTTTTGCATGCAAATGGATGGAAATAGAAAACACTTTACTGAGTGAGGTTACCCAGACCCAAAAAGAGGAATATGGTGTGTACTCATTCATAAGTGGATTCTAGCCATAGTTAAAGGTCTTTGAGTCTATAATTTGTGATCCTAGAGAAGCTAAATAAGAAAGTGAACCTGAAGAAAATCATATAGTTATCCTCCTGGATATAGGAAGTAGTCAAGATTGCAAGGCAAACTTGGGAGCACGGGGGGGTGTTACAGGTGTAAGTAAAGGGAGATGGTTAGAGAGAAGTGAGAGGGGGAGGATTGGGGATGACGTGGGGGAATGAGATTGGGGGGAGGAAGGATGGATATGGGAGCAGGCAAGTATATATCTCAACTAAGGGAGCCATTTTAGGGTTGGCAAGAGACTTGTTTCTGGAGGGGTTCTCAGGCCCAAGGAGAGGTCCCCAGATTCTTCTCTGGGCAGCTGAGGAGAGAGTGCCTGAACTGGCCTTGGCCCATAACCGTACTGATGAATATTTTGCATATCACTATAGAACCTTCATCTGACCATGGATGAAGATAGAGACAGAGACACACATTGGAACACTGGATTTAACTCCCTAGATCCAAATGAGAAGCAGAAGGAGGGAAAACGTGAGCAAGATATGCAGGACCAGAGGGAACCTTCATCTGAGGATGGATGGCGATACAGATGGAGACCCACATTGGAGCACTAGACTGAGCCACCCAAGGTCCAAATGAGGAGCAGAAGGAGGGTGAACATGAAAAATTAAATCAGGACCGCGAGGGTTGCGTTCACCCACTGATACAAGGGGACGGATTGAATGAGAGCTCAACAAGGCCAGCTGGACTGGGACTGTACAAGCATGTGATCAAACCGGATTATCTGAATGTGGCTGACATGGGGTCTGACTGAGAAGCCATTGACTATGGCACTGGGTCTTGTTTCGTCTGCATGGACTGGCTGCTTGGGATCCTAGTCGGTTTGGATGCTCACCTTCCTAGGCCTGGAGGGAGGGGGGAGGAACTTGAACTTCCCACAGGGCAGGAAACCCTGACTGCTCTTTGGACTGGAAAGGGAGGAGGAGAGGGAGTGGGGGGGGGGGGGGCGACAGAGTGGAGGGGGAGAGGGAGTGGGTGTAATGGGAGGGTATTGGGAGAAGGGGAGGAAGTGGTAATTTTTATAAACAAACAAACAAAAAATAATAATAAAAAAAAGAAAAGAAAAAATGTCTGTTGCAAACAATTTTGTTCATCATCATCCTGCAATTCATCATACTGAAGACAAACTAAGAACACAGGAATATGAAAAGTATATAGAAAAGTATTAGCCCACATAATACCTTCAATTTCACATACATTTACAGATACATTATTAGAAACAATAAAAATTTTAAGTTCAGATAAGATTAAGACCAACAGAATAATTACATAAATTGATACTATTAAGCTAATAGAAAGAATAGCAGAGGCAACACTAGAGAAATAATAACAGAAAGATACTCAGCATTTAGAAGACCTATGAAAAGATGTATACAGACTACATCAATGAAAAGAAACAGGGCAGAGAAATAAACATCACAAAAAATGATTGAATGACATAACCTTATTGATGTGTTGAAGAATCCATGATATCAATTCTTTCCAATTTGGAGATTTTTTTTTTCTCTTAATGACAAAAAGCCAGAAAAGACTTTTGGAAAGTTGACAAAATGTGGACTTTCAATCAGAAAAACCTAAACTTTGCCAAACAGTATTTGGAAGAAAGAGCAAATGTGGGAGAGTCATTACCAGTATATCTGTGCCTGCAGTAGAGCTGCCCCTCTTATCATGAAGCCGTATTAGCCATCAGCAGCACCAGTAACTCAGAGGACTGTAACAACACTGTGAATCCGCAAGCATCAAGAGCACCGAGGTGCAGCAGGGAAGAGACAAGCTCACCTTGGGGATGATGTAGTTTCTGAATTTAGTGTCACAGGTCACTGCATGGGGCAGGTTGGTGGGGATGAGGTTGATGAACCTCTGGACCTCATGAATCATGGCATCTGTATAGGGCATGTGGCTCCTGTCCTGCATGCAGGGGCTGTGGTTTCTGCCAACTACATGGTGAATCTCTTCCTGGACTTTAGCTATTTGGTCACAAGGACAAAAGGGGAAACAGTAGAAAAGTAACATATTTGACACAATGCCAGGGTATAAAGAGCACAATGCAAGTGTTCCAAAATAAGTGTAAATGTGCAATTTTTATTCTCGTATAAAAGTATTTATACATATATTCGTACAGAAATTCTGGTTTATGGATTTATATCACTATTCTCTACAGGTATTACAATAGATCAGGATATATTTATTATTTAGTAGTTGTAATTAAAAATATCAAAACAATATAGTTAGTCAAAATACTTTAGTCTTTTGTAAAGGACATTAGAAGACTGATGCTAAATCTGTATCTAAATACAATATTCTCTTACAGTCACATTCTATTATATATACATTTATGTATATGTGTGTGTTGCATGTCTACAATTTGAAAGATTCATCATTTTTGTTACCACACTCTAATAATCCCACAGGAAGTGTATTAATTACAACACTGGCCAACAGCTTAGGTGTATTCCAAACTAACTTTTACACCTAAATTAACCCATTTCTATTAATCTGTGTATCACCATGAGGTTGTGGCCTACTAGTAAGTTTCTAGCAACTTTCTCATTCAGTGGTTTATGGCATTTGCCTGACTCTGCCTTTTTTTCTTCCTCTATCTCTGCTTGAATTTCCTTCCTTGCTCTATTTTGGGCTGTCATTGGCCAAAGCAGCCTATTTGGTAATAAAACATATTCTTAGCATACAGAGAGAATCCAGCATCAGACTGTTTCTTATTTGCCCACATACATACAACATTTATGACAATCAGATATTGGAAAACAAATTTTAGCTACATTTCCTCATCTGCATAAATAAAAACTTACATAATAAACCACGCATACACTCTTCTCCTTTCCCCTCACTTCATTAACAGTAGCATATTAGAACTTCATAAAACTGAAAAGCTTTTTCATGGAAAAGGACAACATCACTAGAACAAAATGACAACTATAGAATAGGAAAATATTTTTATGAATTACATATTCAATAGAGGGCTAAGATTCAAAATATATAAAGAATTTAAAAAATGAGATATCAATAAAACAAATAGTCCAATTAATAAATGGGGTACATAACTAAGCAAAGAATTCTCAAAGATGAAATTCAAACTGCTGAGAGAAGTTTAGAAAAATGTTCAAAAGCCTTAGTCATCAGGGCAATTCATGTCAAAACTACTTTCAGTTATTACCTTACAACCATCAGAATGCTGAAATCAATTTTTGAAAAAGTAAGAGCTCATGACAGAAAAGACATGAATAAAGGGGAACACTTGTGCATTTTTGGAGGGAGAGCAAACCTGTACAGCCAAATATATATATATATATATATGTGTATATATATATACATATATATATATACTGATATATATATATACATATATATCAGTGTGACAGTATGTGAGAAGAAGGGAATCAATCTACCTCAAGATACAGTTACACGACTCTTGAGCATACACCTAAGAGTTGTGTCATCCACAGACACACTTGTTCAACCATGTTCACTGATCTTCTAAATATAAGAGTCAGAAAATAGAAATAAACTATGTGCACCAGAACTGAAGAATAATTTTTAATGTGGCATATTTACACAGTAGAGTGCTACTCAGCCATTATAAATTAATAAAATTATGAAATTTTTAGGTAAATTGATGGAACTAAAAATACAACCTATGTGATATAATCCCAACCCACAAATGTTGTTGGTTTACAAGCTGCTCAGACTTTAAAAAATCTCACAGATTCTCACCCTCTCCCCTCTCCCTAACCATCTTCCCTTATGTCCATTCCCCCACCCCCCATGCACCCGAGTTTGCTTGGCAATCTTGCCTAGTTCTATTATCCAGGAGGATAGCTATATAAATTTTCTTCAGGTTCACCTTCTTATCTAGCTTCTCTAGGATCACAAATTATAGACTCAAAGACCTTTAACTATGGCTAGAATCCACTTATGAGTGAGTACATACCATATTCCTCTTTTTGGGTCTGGGTTACCTCACTCAGTAAAGCGTTTTCTATTTCCATCCATTTGCATGCAAAATTCAAGATGTCATTGTTCTTTACCGCTGAGTAAAATTCTAATGTGTATATGTTCCACACCTTCTTTAACCATTCTTCTGTTGAGGGGTACCTAGGTTGTTTCCATGTTCTGGCTATTACAAATAGTGCAGCTATGAATATAGTTGAACAAATACTTTTGTAGTATGATAGGGCATCTCTTGGATATATTCCCAAGAGTGGAATTGCTGGGTTCTGAGGGAGGTTGACTCCCAGTTTCCTGAGAAACTGCCACACTGATTTCCACAGTGGCTTCACAAGTTTGCATTCCCACCAACAATGGATGAGTGTTCCCCTCATTCCATATCCTCTCCAGCATAGGCTATCATTGGTATTTTTGACTTTAGCTATTCTGACAGGTGTAAGATGGTATGTCAAAGTGGTTTTGA